TAAGATGACAAGAGAGATTCAGGTAAAGAAGGCCCTTCAATCCACCCAATCTATTCTTTCTAGAATGTCCACCTTACTATCTTCCAATTACTACACAAAGTTGTTCCCTTCAGCTTCAGCAAAATAGTTAGCCCAAAGCCATCAGTGGTGGCCATTGAACTAGCCAAGTATGCCATTGAACATATCACCACATGGACTGCAGCATTTCAGTGTCTGTTCACAGAATATTGGTTTAATTCATTTTAACATCACAGGATGCATTTTTCATTCCCTATGTGTTATAGATTGGATAATAGAAAAGCTGTAAAGCAGCAGTGATTTACGAACATCATATGAATCACAAGATTGGATTGGAGCTTTAAAATTATTTCCTTCTGTCTGATATTTTTAATACAGGCTGGATATTTTAATTATCTCATTGTTACTGACTCTGGCTGTGCTCCCTAAATGGAAGCTGAATGAGCTACAGAGGCTGCCAATAAGTTTCACATTGCCAGCTGGTTATTGCTCGTTTGTTTTTTACCATGACACAGTTGTACTGCAAGTGGCAACGGATATTTCTCTCCTGTTGACAATATTGATAAAGCAATGCTAAGGAGAACGTGAGGTTGTTCATTTTAGTGTCTGTTGTGCATTTTGATGTATGGCTCTTGTGGACATTCTATGTTTCCAGTGTTAACGGCAGCTGATGGTAGTTATCTATGACAGAAGGGTAGTAAATTTTTATGGGACATCAGCAAGTTTCCTTACAGAGATGTAACCTTCAGTTAATTACAGACAAATTCTACGGCAAATGCTGTATTGTACAAAAGTCCCTTAAATGTAACAAGTGGTAGGAAGCAGTGTATTTCTTGTTATGATTTGTTTCAATCCCATCAGGGAGGTCCATCCGTTTTGACAACTGAACTAAGTATAAGAGCTGATACACCAGTTATCTTCTGTTTGCATTTTACAGCGGAGGTAAGAGTAATAAACTGACTTCCCTCAGGATAAGATACAGTAGTTTTGCAAGGAAGTAATCCTTAATCTCTCCTGCTAGTAAATTTGATGGGTGGTATTGTTTACTGTTTCTCCAATTGGTTAATGTCAGCAATCCTATCTCAGCTTTATAACTCTCATCATTTAATGTTTCCTGCTTGACACATTTGCAAATTGAGAAAAAATAATCAACGGCTGACCATTTGGCTTCAATATAATCCGGATTCTGATTTATGACCAGATGCATGTTCATTTTGGCTTCTCAATAGCACTGTCCAGTGGCTGAAAGAGAAATTTACAGCTGTACAATTGCAAACACATAAGACAGAGCTTGACATTTAAAGCAAGTGGATGTCACGACACTCCAGCCTTAGTGGACACTTTCTTTTCAATATCTCTTTATAGTGAATATATCAGAGGATGTGAAGAATACAATAGAAGCCCCAAATGAAAAATCTGGATGGAAATGTTATTTGATTAATTGATTTAATTTTATATTTATTGTATAGATTGTGACCTTTCGATTACAAAGAGAATAATCAATACACAACATCTGAAAATTTCTGCTCTTTAAAGTATTATATTTCTATTTTTTTCCAAATCCAAAATGCCTGAGCCCCAGTTTTAAAGCGATGAGCTTCAAAAGAAAACACTTTGAGACAACAACAACAATTACATTTGTATAGCGCCTTTCACATCGGGAGGACATCCCAAGGCACTGAACAATCAGTGTTTTGGACCATACCCTACACAAAAGGTGCTATATAATGTACATGATGGGTCAGTCTGAAATGAGTGCATGTTTCAAATCAGTTTGTAATTTGTATTCTTACTCCACCTTCTGTTACTTCCCAATGAAGGTTGATATGACTTTAACTATTTGAAGCCTTGAAGACTTCTTCCTTAATGTGATTGCACCGAACAAATCTATCCTAAATCTTTTGGTTTATCAATTTGAGCACAGAATGTGCCAACACTGGGCCAAAAGTGGAGATTATTGGAAGCACGACCTCAACATGCTGAACATACAATGTTTGCTTTGTTTTGAGTGGATTGGTAAAAATATTGATTGAGTAACGTGGCAGTATATAACCAAGTTTAGTAAAATGATCACATGTTTCTGATTTTGAAGCAGTCTGTCAATAACAAATGCATTTTTGGTTGTGAAGGTGCTAAAAGCCAGATTCAGCTGTTACAAACTTTACGGATTATGATTTTTGTCGAATGAAAATAAATTATTAAAGCTATGTCATTCAATTAATATTTTCCAGATTTGTGGTTTACACTCCCACAGAGCACAAATTAACATACTTTAGGTTTGAAGATAAGAGAGATGGGGAATTGTGTCAAGTAATTTAATTTCTATGTTGCTGAAATGACTGAGTTTTCAACAATTTAATTGAACGTGACTCCTGTAATGGCAGAAATCCTGGATGTTAGACAGCAATTCAAGCTTCACACACAAAAACATCTAAACTTCAGTAACCTGCACTCAAAGACACCCAGTGAATGGTTATTGTCATTTTATGGCTGCGCTAAACCAATTTGCTGCAAATAATACAGCAAATACATTTACTTTATCTATATTTCTAGTAGTCACGTGACTTTAGCTCTTGTTCACTGCAGAGAAGTTGAAGACATTAAAAAGAATCAGGTTTAATTCAGTCCATTATGCCCATGCTGGCTCTTTGAAAGAGCAAGCTATTCAGATTCATCTACCTGCCTTTACCCCATAGCATAACCGTTCAATTTATGCTTTTTTAAATAGAATTTCCCTCTCCTTCCCCCGACCTTGCTAAAATACCTTTAGACAAAAGAGGTCAGCAAATCTTGGTCTCTAAAGCTGTCAACCTTCTCAGCTGCAGTCCTAGTATTTCTGACTTGGTTGACAAAAATACCTTTTTGTCCTTCGTCAGGATTGAAAACCCAAGATTCACAAACTGGATTTATTGTATAATTTGTGACCTCTCTTTTGCAAATATTGGATTGTGAAATTCTGGGGAAGCGCATCATAAGTCAATAATGTTTAATAAAGGACCAGAGAAACATCGCATTTCCTGTGTGATTTTAATCTCTGGCTTTTTTTGCCCACCGTTGGCAGTTTAGGATTCAGCGTTCGCTGGCTGTAAATTTCACAAACCAATATTCTCAAACCAGAAATCCAGATTAGCACAATTTACCTGAGTTGTGAATATGAATAAAAGTGGAATTTGCTTCCGATCAGTGCCTCATCTACTATTGGGGTCACCTTGAGCTCTCATTGGGGTCACCGTGGCCTCCCTAAAGCATGCTCTTCTTGTTTACTCCAACATAGACTTCAGAATTTCAATCAGCACAGCTGGAGGAACATCTGTTGGTTGTCTAATAGGGATCAAGTGCCCAATTTCCTACTTGTTATGGTGCTAAAAGTATGATTAAAATGGGTGTGCCTCAATAGGGCTCTTATCTTGTCACCAGTGCTAAGTTCAATTGCTCTTTATTGAGAACTGCAATTTTTCAAGTGTTGCAATGCCATGGGAAATATATGTCTACAAAGTCTTTAAACATTAAAGTCCTCATAAATGTTTTAATAATTGTGACTGAAATAGTATATCAACCTTATGGAATATTAGCATTAAAAAGCGGGCATCCCAGTTAATTCAATGCAGATTGTATTAAACATAAAGACAGGAACCATTTTCTTCTGAAGTTTTGCTGTAAGCACCTTATTTTAAATTAACTTTCAAATGCATTCGTGTCTCAAGCAATACACTGAAGTACATTCACAGCACCACCAAAATGCATTAAAGTTCAGAAAAATAAAATGAGGGAGAAAAAGTCATCTTAAGACTCGCAGAAAATTCACAAGAAACATAACAGTTTATTCAGCTAAATATTACTGTAAACAAAGTGGGTGTTCATTTGTAACTGACAAAACTTTTTAATCTCTGTAAGGAAGTTTAGGGTTATAATTAGAAGAGGCCATTCAACAGAGTCCAAAAAATTGTAGTTATTTTATAATTAGCTTAAATTAATGGTCTGCAATGTGGAATTATATTGAACCATGTACATCCAGAAGGTCACAGGTTAGATCCTCAGTACAGTTAGTTGATCTCATCTGTAATTGTAGAGAAAGTGCTATAATTTGCTTCAATATCCCAAGCGGTCAAAAAGGGAGTCTTGAGACAGGCCTTGAAGGAGGCAAGGGAGGGAGCGAGGCAAAGGGATTGTAGGAAGGAGTTCCAAAGGGTGAAGGCAGAGAGGCTGAGGCCTTACCGCCGATCGTGGGGTGGGTGGATGGGGCACATGGAGCAGGACGGAGCTTGGGGACCCAGTAATCTGTTTGAAGTGTATTAAAATATCCTCTTGATATGAAATGCAGTTAAAAAATATTTTTTTGCACTTAAACAGCATCTCCTAGCAAATTAATAGATTACAAGTCTACTTTCTGTCTTCTGCTTAGCTAATTATATTGAATCGAAAATATTTTAACATTGCAGTTATTTGTTTTAAGCATCACGGTTTAAATAGCAAGTGCATACTATTATAGGAGTGATACCTACCAATTCTTACGAGAAAATACTTATTCGCAACTGTTATAATAATAAAATAATAATCCTTGCATTTGTTATAGCGCTTTTCACGTCGGGAGGACGTCCCAAAGCGCTTCACAGAATATAGTGTAAAGTGAATGTTGCTGTTGTAAATTCTCTTGACAAGATTGGATTATAAAATAGATTAATGGGGTAATTGTTTTTATGTAAATCGTTCTTTCATTTATTAATTTGAAATGGTAAGATGTACTAAAGAGCGTTATATATCAATTTGTCTACACTACTTTTAGGATTTTAAGACTATATTCTTGAATGTTTTATTTGATGTCCCCATGATAGAAAGGCAGAGAGCAAAAGAAATAAAATTGCAGCAGTACGTAAATGGTGTCTACGGTTATAATACTTATTTTTAAAACATATTTTTAATTGCTGAAGTGGCGCTGCGAGTGACCCCATCTGGTATTAATTTATTTCACATTTTTATTGCAGCTCCACTTCTACTCTGAGAAATATGGCCTTGTCTAAAAGTAGATGAAGTACACACAGCGCAGTGAACATAGCTTCAGAGGAGAAACAACGGCTGCAATCCTTTTGTAAGTAGCCTGGAGCCTGAAGACCAATAAAACAGCAGGAATTATTTACTGTAATGACGATTAATTTGTGCCGTTTTCTGAGCACTGAAGGCACAACTGAATTGAAATCATCATTGGCAGCGGATCCTTGTTTATCTTTTATTTTGAAAACTAGGTTGAATGCATAAAAGCAATCATGGCCTGGGCTGCTTCAGTTTAGAGTTAACCTGTTAAGAGTTATGAGCACATTTTCAGTCCACTGGAAGTCCAACAGCAGTCAGAGCTGCACCCTTCATTATGAGTTCTCAAGGACACCATTTGGGATAGTTCTGTAATTAGCATCAACGTGAGTGCAGCGGAGTGAGCGTGAAAACAGTTTTGAGTAATAAACACAGGTATGCCAATACCTGGACTTAATGAGCTTTGCTGATGGAATAAATAAATCATCTTCCAGACTCCCCAAAGCAGCTGCTTCATTTTAGCAAACAAAGCATATGGCCCTGTCAGAACTCATTGGTTTGATCCCCTCAGTAAAATGAAAGCCCTATGAAGGTAATCCAAGAACAATAAGTGCTTCAAAAATGGGTCCAAACCAGAATCTAAGTGACAGTTGGCAGCATTTCTAGTCTGTGTCACTATCCTTCACGTCTGAAGATCCATCTTGATGAAAACATTGAACAATGTTACAGAAGCAACCTGTGAAACATTTGCATCACCCTCTGAGATGTTCCATTCCAACTCGCGTAGTCCGTCTGGCAAATTGCGAAGTTTTATAAATTGATCTTATTTCAAGCCGTCCGTTTCTTATGTCACAATGTTATATTTCATACTGAGAAATTTAGATGAAGAACCAAATCCCCCGAAGTGCAGGACATCACCAACACTGAAAAGAGCACGAGAGTCACGAACAAGGTGTATTTTAAAAGTCTATTAATTGTAGGAGGAAGAGAACATTCGAAAGTAATTGCACTGTTTTCTGTTCCTGGGAGAGTATTTGTTAGAAAAGTAAAGTGGATAACAAACATAGAAACTGGGAAAAGGCCATTCATCTCATTGAGCCTGCACTGCCATTTTATTAGCTCATCTTTCTAATCGCATATTCATGCCTTTTCCACATTGTTTGTGGAGTTCTGTAGCTCAGTGGTGAGAGCATTCGCCTTGCAAGCGAGAGACCTGGGTTCGATTCCCAGCAGGGTGAAACCTTGGGCAAGTTTCCTTACTCCACACGCCTGATAATAATCCCTCAAGAAAAAAACAGTAATAATTTGGTCACCCATCCACGACTGTTTGTGGGACACTGCTGTGTGCAATTGGCTGCCGAGTTTCACCCACAAAATATACTGTCAATTCACTTTACAATATATTCTGTGAAGCACTTTAAGACATCCAGAAGATGTGAAAAGTGCTATATATCAAATGCAAGGACTATTATTATTATTGTACTCTTACTGCCCAAATGTTTGCCTATCACCCTCTTCAATACCTGTTTATAACACATTCCATCTATCATTTTTAAATCTAAGTAATTTAGGCAAATTTGAATATTCAAGACATTTTTGTATCAAGTGAAATACAGAGGTTTCCTCAATGATGATGACTGAATTACATAACTTGTCACCTCCCATTCAATCAGAGAATGCCTCTCCTATCCCATACCTTTTAACGACCAATCAATTCCCTATTCATATCACTAGAGTGTCTCCAATTTTAATACATTTTAGTTAGTAATCCCTTGTATGAAATCTTATAAAATGACTTTCTGAAAGTTCATACAGATAACATCCATCAACCCTCTATCTACCATCTCAGTGATTTTTATCAAAAAATTCTATTAACACATGCTATATTTTCTAATATGTTATGATGTATTTACTTCAGATATTTACAGAGATGAGATTTGTATCTAGTCACTTTGCGATAGACTTAAAGACACAGGCTCGAAGAAGGAAGGATGGAGCAATAAACCTCAGGGACATTTAGTTTCAGGCCAGAATGCTTTGAATCTTTGCTGTCCAAATTGTCACTGAAATATTTGAGAATTTCACATTGCTAATCATAGTGTACAGTATCTTGTTGCACAAATGTTGTCTGCATTGTAATGTGGTAGGTTGATTTGTTGAGTACCATTGCATTAAATTACACAGGTATGGTTGGAAACACAAACAGATTGGTTTGGATCTGCAGAACGTCCAGGTGTTTGTTAATTGCAACCATAAGGTTTCTTTTCATTTGTTTTACTTGAATAAAAAAACTCTTGCTGATTTATAATATCGTATGAGTAATGATCTTCTTTATGGATTGTCTGTTTGAGAATTTTCAATGTTTTTTCTTTGGCTGGAATAATCATGCATCTTAGAAAATAACTACAATAACATATGGATATTTTAAATGAATATTCATAACACCACATCAATGTTTCATTCCTTTATTGCTGGATGCCACATAGAATTGGATTTTCTGGTGGGTTTTGATGAAGGTACTTGGGGAGTCATCATATCTATTTAGTCTGAAACACTAACACTTTAGGTTTTACTTTTGTAAGTGTAGAGATCAGAGAGTGACAACATTGTCCATGGAGTAACTGTAAGATAAGCTGTGACCAAATCACTCTGGGCAGATCTAGGCAGCCTTGGACAGTAAACATAGGGAGTGTTATCCTCAGTGTTAAGAAGAATTCAAATATTGGTCATCCACATATTCTCTTTTAGAATCGCAAATTGTGGAATCCTGTAGCTTAGTGGTGAGAGCACTTGCCTCGCAAGCAAGAGAGAATGAAACCCCGGTTTGATTCCTGGGCAGGGTGAAACTTTCGGTAAGTTTCCTTACTCCACAAGCCTCTGTTTACCTAGCAATAAGTAGGAACCCAGTTGTTAGTTGATTGGCAGTTCGATTTTCCGTGGGTAATAATCCCTTCAAAAAACTTTTGATCATTTAATCCACAACTGTTTGTGCGACACTGCTGTGAGCAATTGGCTGCGCAAAATATACAGTTACACTTTACAATATATTCTGCGAAGTGCTTTGAGACACCACAAAGATGTGAAAAGGCACAACATCAATTGCAAGGATTATTATTAAATTCAATTTACCAACATTCAGACCCTTGGCTTGGTAATCACATTTATGCTCAACTGGACAAACAAGCGGCAATGGTGAAAAAGTTGGTTGAACAGTAAGACTACTCAAAATGCTTAGTCCCTGCTTGTCACTGTCACCAGCTCTCACGTGCATCAAATCCCATTTCTGCCCAGTGATAGACTGTTTGAGAAGTTCAAGTGGAAACCCATCTCTTGCTCTTGGACTCAGTCCAGTCTAAAACTGAACTTGATGAGGATGGGTACTTCAAGTCACACTCCATCCTATATATCAAATGAAGAGATTCAGCAGGATTGTCAATCTTCCACATGATTATAACTCCACACAATTGCCAGGAACACAGCTCTGCAACATCTATCAGTCCAAGAAGCTGAACAAAATACCAGAGTAGCAGCAATGTTAAAAATGTCACTTCTTCTGCCTATAGAATCTTCTCTGAAGCAATGAGATCAATTTTGTGGTGTTTTTAGATGGATTTCTTAATTAAGAAATCTAGAAGTCTGTAATGCTGACTGGTTGCATTTATTTTTTCAGGTCACGAATGTTTGTGACTAAAGTCATTGATGTTTGTGACATACATCCAGTTACCATAAATAATTTCTTTTAGTATTTCAATAGTATTAGTATTTGTTTTTTTAGCACCAGAAATTTAATCAGTTACTGTTACTCAGAACTCTCTCATCGGTCCACAGAAGCTTAAATACAGAGTCAACCCTCACTTGATGTATTGTTGACTTATTAGACTTGTGAAATAAAACAAATGGAAAAACTCCATGGCTGAAAGTCGTGAAATACCAAAAGAAATACTAAAATCAATAGCCGGTCAGTCAATATCCAAAAGACAACAATATCATAAGGATTTGGACGTGACTTTCAAGAAAAAGCTTAGATATACCAGATGGTGTTTCTATATACTTTCTCTAGGTTGATCTGAGCTCTCAGGAACTGCAATGGTCAATTTCATGAGACATCTGTCTTTAAAAAATACTGCTGGCAGTAAGTTAAGGTATTGATCAAAGGCAGGCAAAGGTCATATGGCAAAATAGTGAAAATGCAGAAGAGACTCCCTTAACCAAAATAAATGTGTTAGAGAGATGGGAGGGGGGTGTGGTGGGGGGCAGAACTTGATATATTAGTGAAGAGCTTTTACAGAAGCTATGACTGCACATCATATGGGTTCCCTGGAAACTGGGCAAAGAGCCAGTTTTCCACAGTTCTTTCAGCACCAGCTTCTGAATTGAAAAAAAATCACAATTATATGCAACCATATGTTTTGAGACAAAATAGTCTTATAGGCTAAAATTATGTGGGATGCATGTCTATCGCCAAAGGGGATGCTGAGAACTATAGAAAGTATCCTACAGCAACATGAAAGCAGGTTACAATAAAGACAACAATTGACTACACTTGTCTGCTATAGAGAAAGAAAGACCCAATGGGTCAAAAACAATTGCTGTTACCCACGGAAACCAAGGTGACCCAGGTATAGAACAGCTAAACAAGAAGGAAACCATTGGAGGATAACAAATGTTACGCCAAACATCTGTGATGGAGAAAATGGTTGAGAGCTTTATTTGGGATGCTATCAATGTTCATCTAAGAATACAGAGTACAGTGACCATAAGGAGAAATCAGTATTGGTTTAGAAGTAATGCTTTATTTTGCTGATCTGCTGAATTTCTTTGAGGAAATAAGTAAATTAGTCATTAGTCGATGCAGAAGATTTTCAGAAAGCAGATAATAAAGTTTCATTATCAAGCAATAACTTGTTGTTTGGATTTTGTTAAACTTGTTCTGGTTAGCAAAATGAAACTGTTGGACTGAGGCACTTGTGTTTGTTCATTAAATGTTGAATGATTTTAGTTCTGGGCTTATGTGTGATAAATGGAAAGCAAAGACTATTTTGCGAAAAATAAACATTGTGC